ATTTGTTAGCTCAAGAAAGAAGAGAAAAATTGATTAATGTTCTTAAAAGTGAAAATGTGATGGAAAAATAGATTGAATATAGAGTAAGTATACTCATATATTTGTTCTTGTGATACTTGGTTTCGATATTTGTTGGAAAAAACCTGAATTTAATCAATTATAGAAAAACCTAGCAAACTTCTGGATAAAAGACCACATAGACTGGAACATAAACACTTTACTTTAACTTTTTTAGAACAAAATAACACAGAAACTTGTAAAAACGCTGTGAAAACCGCATAAAACATAACCAGCCTACACGAATGTAAATAAACTATTTGTTTTACCTCAGGGCGACTGTCAAAACTCATTTGTGACGTCACATGGACATGCCCTATTGTAGAATTCTCGGTAACAAATAACAACTGTGAGTTGACTGTGACAATAACATTCGAAGGTAAGGTTTTTAATATAATAAACTAAATTCAAATTTCAAAGTCACACAACTACTAACATAACAACACCACTGCAAGCTCCCACAGGCGAATCGTGCATCATCCGCGTGTGGCTAAATTCAGCTGGTTTAGAAAGCTTTTTCACGAGACAGGTCAATTAAATGGAAATATAGGTTCGAATCGCTATCAGCTTTGTTCTAATACGTCAGAAAACGTCCCATGAACTCTGTATACGAATTCCGGGTTCTCCGCATAATTGTTAGGCTTTGCGCAGGATCTTGACGGTACATTGTACGGTTTTCTGCTATATTGGGACAAAGCTAAACATAACTCTTCAGAGGGGTCTTGTTCTATCGAAAAAGTTTGGTCGACTAAATCGATAAAATTTTGTTCAAACCAGGGCCCGCTCTAGCCTTTCGGCCATCCTGGGCAAAAATAAGAATTGCCGCCCCAAAAAATTGATTTGGAGGTGAAGGAAAAGGAGGTTATTATTCAGTGGCGACCCGTGACTCTTATTTTAAGGGAAGCAGCCTAAGAAAAAAGGAAAAAAGCAGCGTCGTAAGTAAATTTCTTCGCTTGAGGGGGGTAGTAAAGCCCGCCGGAGGCGCCGCCGGAGGAAGAAAAATTGAGTTCCACGCCTTAAAACGTTTATCTTAGCCTTCAAAAAAACAACATATGAAAATAAGAACATTTTTCAGGAATTTTCACGTATTCAGCGTAACAAAAACGGCGCCGCGCCGCAGACGGATTTTAAAGCTTCTTATAAATTCATAATAGAGATTTTATTGTTCACAAAGAAAATATTGAATGCCTACTATGCAGAAATGCATAGTAGGTTGTTCGTGGTCGCGATTTTGTCGATAACGATAAAATCAGTCGAAATGTACGAGAAAATTATCAATAACGATTGTTTGTGGTTCCCCATTGTCGTTATAAAATTATGTACATTCCCATTTGGGTTTATAGGTCTCACAACTCACACCATACCTTCGAGTCTTTCGGACCGGTCGATTTCTTCTTTATTTTTTCATGGTACTGTACTGACTACCGACCTTTGTATTTTTACCTTTATGTTTTTAGTTTTGAGTTTTCACGTTTGTGTTTTTATAGTTGTATAATTTTAATACAGTTAGCTTTGGTAAGTTCTCAGGCAAGGCTGTTAGATAAATAATTACGATTTTGTTTTTGATTATTAGGGCAAAGCTAATAATTGAATTGCCCTCGTTCCGCTTAAAGGAGTGTTCTTTAAATCCCAAAATAAGATTTTATTGTGTTTAGTCAACATAATAGTACCAACCTACATTGTAACCATGACAATGTATGCCAATCACATCATATCGTCAACTTCAAAGAAAATTTTCAAAATCTAGATGAAACTAGGAAAACAAATTAAATCATAAACAAAAATAATACACAACAACAAATTTCTGAGATTAGGTAGTGTAGGAGCGCGAAATGCTAAATGCAAAAGTGGAATGAGACATCAGAGATGTTCCGTGACGAAATGCATACAAAACGACGCAAGAATTGCCTGACCTCGGCTACTGAACTTTAACGAACTAGAACGATCGGCTTAATTTTTAATTCTTAGTTGAAAGTTGGCCATCTCACAGTTTAGTTTAATTCGAGGTATAAATAGTCTCACCTAGAAGAAAACGCATTTTAACTTTTAATTTTTGGTTTGGTTTAATTTTTTAGTTTAGGTTAATTTTAAATTTGAAGTAGCAGGCACTGCTACTAGGCAAGTTTGGGTCATTCACAAATTCACCTGCGATAATAATAGATTTCTGTGAGTTTTTCAGCGAAGTTGCAAACTCCAAATCTATAGTCCTTGGGCCCAGATCTAAATTTATTATTTATGACCACACCGTCGAAACTTTTTGTATTTGCTATTTGGGTGGAGTCGGACAAATTTTGAGCTCAGCGCATTATGGTAGTGGGGCGTTTGTCTGTCAAGCTGTCGCGAAGTTGTCGATTTTATGCAAGAAAAAAATTTATGACCACATTGGTAATTTTTTTTTAATCAATAGTTTTTATCACATAAACAACGAAAAAAAATGTGTCGGACAAAAATATTGGGGCATTCGACGCGTCGGACACGCTAAATATGTCAAATTTATGGGAAAAAAAAAATTATTACCACACGGCTGATTTGAACAGAATCTGCCATAAAAATATTTTACAATAACGTGGTAACCTTGTCGGACAATTTTCACGGGGCATATGCGCAGTCGAATGCGCCAAATATGTCAATTTCCTGCAACAATTTTATTTACAACCATTTTTCCGACAAGAATAGGATCTAAGTAATTATATTCTAAATTAAAAAATCTAAGTGTCGGACAAAAATGTTGGGGCAAACATACAAGAAATTTAATTCTTATAGGCTATCGACGTTCTTAAATTATAAGGATGAGTTAATGCTTATATTACTTTATATAAATATATAAGTACCTACATATAAAGCAAAAATACATAAAATATTATCATTAAATATTATTTATTATTAAATAAATATGGCGAAAATAATATTATTCAATAAATAAGTATTAATACTAATACATGTCAGCATTGGACTTATATTATTAATTTTCACCGTTTGTTATTAGTTTTCATAAAAAAAATGTATTAAAAATTTAAAGGGCCACGCGATGCGTTCGCTGAAGCACACTCGAAAATACGGCAACGCTGGTTGCTTTTGCCTTAACATTGATACGGTGACGAATCACCTAAAAACTGGGAACGCGAAAAATTGTATCAAAAAATTGTATCAAAAAATAACGGATAAGCACTAGTACGGAAAAGTGATACTTTCATGACCTAAAATGCGTGCGGAAAACTATACTTTTCCGCACGCTCGTTTCACCGGCATCATTTGACATCAACTTTGAATTTAATCCATGATTAAAAATTCCGTTTAAAATTATAATCTTCGGTCAAATTTAAAGTTGGTGTCAAATGATAGCTTATGGAAATCTAAGATAGGAATGTAAAATCGGTTTTCCTCTAAAATTAATTTAGGTTTTACAGTCTGTCAAAGATGCAAAGAAGTCAATTTTAAACTGTCAATACTTCTGAAACAGTTAGATAGGTATATGACATTGTACATGAAATATGTCTAGAATTTTCCGCAGAATCCAGAAATGTCATAATATACAGGGCTAGTCATTTAAAAAAACATAGCTTTGTGTCACCACTACTTATTGGGCCACCCTGTATACTGGAAAATAATTTAGGAATGAAGCACTCATGTTTATCTACAAGTTTGTATTTACTTTTTTCTTCGATCTCGGTTAGTATAGGAGATAGGGACCACCGCGCTCTTAGTAACTCACCCTGTATAAAACATATAGGTGTGTGGGTATGTGTGTATGCATATTGTATAAAGGAAAAGTTAATAGATGAGATTCCCCAAAATGCTAGAGGTAGCCAAAGTAAAACGATGTAATGTGCTACTAAGTCTCTGTTTATTCAAATCATCAAGCTTTCGTCTACCATTGCAGACTTCATCAGGACGCTAAAAATAACAATGAAAACTCCTTACTAAGAGACAAATTAACACTTTTTTTGAAGGCAGAAGGCCCAATAAACTTACTTGAAATTCAAGACAGCTCTATTGCAGTAATAAACAATATATAATAGATGAATGCATAACGCACTTTCACAGAAGACTTATAACTTGAGGATTTCATGTAAAAATCTGGATTTCAACCAAACGCTTATCAATATAACAGAATACAACATTTAAGTAAAAGGACGGACATAATTATTTTGTAAAAACACCTATCCAATAGAGGATTACAACAGATTAAAATAAAAGTAATATAATTAGTTAATAAATCATCAAAACGTTCAATTGAAAACACACATCAGCTGGAGAAAACTGACAGCAGACAGAACCGAAGCAAATGACAGCATCAAAGTCTATCAATCTTCATCTGCTTGGAACCCAAAAAAAGAAGAGAAGGAATATGTCAAGTTGTTTGAGGTTATGTTTTACTCTGTCATTTTTAACCCAAAATATCAGCTGGTAGTTAGCTATTCTCCCAACTAAGGGTACAGATATTCATACTATTTAACAATATATCATTTTTACTTTATATTATACAAATCAAAAAAATTCAAATTACCAATAACAAACCCAAACAATGCAAGGGAGGCAAGCTTCCAAATTAGTCAATATTATTTAAAAAAATAGTTACATTCCCAAAATTTCATCTGTTTGGAAAAGACAATCAAACAGAGATGGGTAAACTACCCCCAATTCTTTCGGACTTAGTTGGGAGAATAGCTATTGGCGATTAGACCGGTTAGGCCTTTCGAATGCTTGTCCCCATATAAAAACGTATGCAAGAATATGGGATGTTGACAAAGTAGCCTGGTTCCTTTTAACCAGTGCGAATTTGACTCAAACGGCTTGGGGTCGGCGAACCCCCAATGATGAACTTTTTGTTCAAAATTTTGAAGCTGGAGTATTGTTTCTTCCTTCTTACGTGGTAGCGATTGTTTATGGGAGAACTCGTGTTGAATTATTTATCCGATTTAAACTTCTTTTTCTTTCCATAGACAAGCCAACTTTTTTTCCTACCGATGGTGATGTAGGGCTCACGCTTCCATTCGACGTCCCACTACATACCTACGAAAGCAACTCAAAGCCATTTTTCAACGACAAGTCTCTACAACGCGAAGAGCCGCGATTCTATGTTGATGAGATGAACGTTGATACAGAAAGTGAGAAAGAAGAAGAACAGGAAGAGGCGGAGTTAGATTATCCAGACGATGAATCAATATTGAAACCACAAGTTATCCAAGCCTTTGACGAGGAGAAGGGCGATCTCGACTGGCATCACGACGTAGACTCATACGTCCTCGTCGTCAAAAACCTACAGGCACTGGCAATTCACTCTACATTTTATGAGAGCATGGACGCAAGAAAAGCCAAGATTTGTCCGCAAAAAAAGGTCACTTCAGCGCTTTTTGGAGACAATCGAAAAAAATGGTTGGAATTCACTCTTGGCAGCGCTTGCGATCATCACATAAAATGTGTGTTCCAATACTCCCCTTTTTTGAACGTCAATGTCGTTCGGCAACTATTTATCGAGGAAATTTTACAAAAAGCTATCAACGACGCCTTGTTACCAGAAACCAATACCATCACCCACGGTTCTGGCGACAATAAATTTGGAACCAGATTGAAAATCTCAATATTCAGGAAGGACTGGCCAGCCGTGGCCCGAGAAGTCGACCGAATTATAAATTCTCGCGTTGGCTACCGACTTCTTCGCATGTGCAATGTACATTATTATACAGCACGGCACGGTCAACGCGAGTTTAACTTTGACCAAGCAAAACATTTTTTGACAAGTAGCATTGAACCTGGATTCGAACACATGTTGGTCGGACTACAGATGCATTGCGCTACCCAGATATCGTCCAAAGACAGCGGGGCAGTTTTTGTACGACATGATAGAATGGGAAAATTCATTGGAAAAAAATTTACAACCAACACCAGGCCGGCCTTCTTGAAAGGACTCGGACATACTTATGGAAACATCATTGGCCACAACGACGTTCTCCCCAACGTGACGTATTTCCAATCGTATGACCCGGAAGCTCATAGGTGCGTCTCTCAACTTTGTTTCATATTTTGTATTTTCTATTTTCCAGATTCAAAACCAAAGCCTTTTCTAGCCCCGCTACATTTCTTCTCGGGCGCGGTATGAACAAGTTCCAAAAAAATGCCATTAAAAACTTCGCAATAATTAAGCCAAGAACACTTGCCAACTTAAGAGCAATGATATCTACTATCGAATCCTACCAAACTAATGGATACCGCCTTCGGATCGAAACGGTTGAAACTTTCCGAGACCTCAAAAATTTTAATAAAGAATATTTGCATTCTGACTCCTTTGTTAAAAAAAGGATGAAAGTATTGACGGAAATGGCCCGGGCAGGGGCATTGGTACGATTTTCAGGATCGAATTGGCGCAAACATCTCGAGGCCTGCGGAATCCTATATGACGTCGAACGCGTGCGTGAAACTCTAAATTTATTCCAAAGTTTTGATGAATCACAAAGACTTCCGACTATGTCGATCAAGAATATTATCATTGGGGACGAGTTCTTGACCGATGAGATAGTCATGGAGGAGAAAGAAAGGGCACGAGCGATGACCAAGAAAAATATACGGCATAGCGAACGCTTGGAACGTGCAAATTTTTCAATGATTCCTCAAGAAAATAACGACGAAGAATATGCTTCTTCCAATAATGGTGGTCCAATTATAATGTCAAGCATAGAAGTAGTAAAAACCTACGTCTCGATAATGCGTATCACGTATTTTCTCGAGGGGAGTACCCTAAGAGGTAAAAAACTAGATTTGGACGTTTTGAAACATCTACTGGTTAGAAAAATGCGAGGACAAGTGCAATGCGTGAAAACAGTTGATGAACTGTTCAACGAATTTATTCCGGTCATGCGTCCACAGGTAATGATGGTATTCGAGAGGCAAATGTATGCGATCCATAAGGCAATACAAATTGCAGAAGAGAGGATACTCTCAAGTGCAACCTCCGTTGATGATGACATAAAAATATTCGAATATTGGACTACAGCGTATGCTCACGTGGCGCTCTTCCTATGTACCACAATGTCGAAACGAAAGCTACAAGACAACTTCAAAACTCTGGCAACAATTCCAGGAGGCAACAATTCCAGGCGATAACTTCCAACATTATGGAATCGAATTGAGAGGTTTTCTTTCTCCAAAAAACGTGGCTGACAATTTTCTACATCCAAAATCAGCAATTGGGAATTGGGTTTTATCTTCAACTCGTGTGAGTTCGGCGAAGTTGAGTGATAGAATATTTTACAAAAAACTATTGGATTACATAAAGAACAATGTGCCTATTTATCCAAGTAATATTTATAACAATAAGGATCGGTCGTTCTTCCACGTAGGCTGCACAAACAAATGGTCTCCCGAATACGAACGACCAAAAATCAAACAGGTAATTTTTTTGTATCTATTCATCCTAGTTCAGTAAATACGAGTAGATCAATAATAAATATCAGAAAACATGGTTAGTCAATTATTATTTCATATAAGCTCTTGAAATAAAATTGAAAAAACTATTATATATTTTCTCCTGTAGTACCTATGTGATTGATAAATAGGTTTCTTTTTAATGTCAAGTGAATAAATCTGCAACAGTTATCCGTATTTGCAGATATTTCCTGGCTGTTGTTATTTAATGTCGATAATTTGCAATTAATTCGTGCTCATTTGTTGATATGCTTTTTTACCTCTTGCCATTTTAGCACAACCAAAAGAACAATCTGAACAGATGCCCGAGGAAGAAATTATTCAAACGGAGAAAGAAGACGAAAATCAACACAAGACCAATATCGAATGTATGCATTTTTGAAGATTTGCGACTAAGTTTTGATAAGTTTAATTTTCCAGATCACGAAAATCATCAAGAAGAATTCTTAGAAGTCCCCGGCCCATCAAAATGCCAAGCACAGACAACCTCCGAAAGTGGTTCGCCGATAAAAAAGCGGAAAAGGGCAATGCCGCTTAATGCTATAGAAATCAGAACGATGGTTGAACACTTGGCAAACAATGTGGCCAACCGCGAACAAATTTGGAAATTCGCCAACATGCCCCCTTCCGTATTTGAAATTTTGCAACATCGTCGATACGAAATATTGTGGCGCAAGGCTAACTTTATTTTATACGAGGCAACCGAAGCCTTTTTTGACAAAAATGATTGTGACGCTGCTGAGGTACGCAGCATTTTGAATAGTCGAAACACAGGCCGAATATAAATAAATTAAAAATTATCGTTCTGCCTATTTACACGATTTCTACCTCGTTTATTTTGGGAAATTAGGATTTCTACATTCTACGCAGTTTGAAGAAAAGCCCTCCGATCCTGGTATAATTTTTCCATTATTTAATTAATCTTACTGACTCGTTTTATTTCAGAACATGCCTCGTTTATTGGGAAATTAATAATATTTCTACGTTTTTTGCCGTTTTTCACTTGGAAATTAAAATTTCCACGTTCTTTTCCTTTTGCAAAAAAAGCCCTCCGATCCTGGTATATTTTTTCCATTACTTAATTAATCTTACTAACTCGTTTTATTTCAGAATATGCCTCGTTAAATTGGAAATTAATATTTCTACGTTTTTTGCCCTTTTTTCACTAAGAAATTAAAATTTCGACGTTCTCTGCCTTTTTGGAAAAAAAGCCCTTCGATCCTGGTTTAATTTTTCCATTATTTAATTAATCTTACTAATGACTCGTTTTATTTCAGAATATGCCTCATTTATTTGGAAATTATTAATATTTCTACGTTTTTTTCCGTTTTTCACCAAGAAATTAAAATTTCCACGTTCTCTGCCTTTTGGAAAAAAAAGCCCTCCGATCCTGGTATAATTTTTCCATTACTTAATTAATCTTACTAACTCGTTTGATGTAATGATTTTATTTTTTTGTTTTAATTTTTTCTTTGTGGATAGGTAGCGAATGTTTGGTAGGTATAGCGATATTACGCTGATAAGAATAGTTGTTATTGATCTGTGTCAAAGAATGAGAAGCGAGAGAATATAAAGCATTAGTGACTTTAATAGACTTCTATTTTATGGCAAAATCAGCATACTACCTTGGTAAAATATATTTATCTAGAATATTTTATGTTTATGTAGACCACTGAATCAGCCATAGAACTATATAGTTGGGTTGAATTATATTTCACCTGTCATTTGGGTAACTACATATAACGTCATGAATTGTAGTATGTGTATTATGATGTTAAGTGGGCGATAAAATTCGTCTATAGTATAAACATGGTGCGTTCGAAACACCAAAGGAAAGCATTCTGAAAACAATTTATTCATGTTGCATGGACAACGAAATGCAGTCATTCTTCATCGAATAACGTCAACATTTGAACAACCTAAATTTAACAAAACAGTTCGAATATGGTTACCTTTAGACCTCCTACCTTTTTGACATATTCAGAACGCAGTCGCGTATTTTTCAAATAAAAATTTTTCAAAATCTGTCGGTCCAAAGAAGATATTTGCTATTTGGTGCGACAGTTCTTGTCTTAAAAAACCCAAAAAGTCTACAAATATCTTCTTTAGAGTGTATTCCTGGTTCTTGCTTCCTAATATTTTAAGGTAGGCTTTGTGCAGGTATTCCGTCATCCGACTTATACAAATTCCGGGCATATTTTATTGTAACCTGATGCTAAAGTTACCGTTTTATTCTGCCATTTCGTACGGTGTGTCTACACTACGGCATCGCAGAACTTACATTCTGCGTTATTTTCGTTACGTCCTTCGAAAGAGACATTTGATATAACTTTTGGACACCGTACGGAGCGTAAGCCCTACGTTGGGCAAAAGTCCGGGGAATTACCTTACACACTAACCGAATACCGACTAAACCGACAAAACAAAAACATTTATTTTGAATCTCGGACCTAAATTGTTTAATAACCTTCCACTGGAAGTGAAAAACTATCAAAGTCTACCATTATTTAAGCGATTGATTAAAGCATTTTTAGTAGAACAATGTTACTACAGTATTGATTCATTTGTACAATCTAAGATGACCTAATATGTAAATTAGTCTAGATATTTTTTTCTGTAAAATTTTTATTTTGTAAGTACTGACGATGTCCATATACAATTTATGTGTCATTGGAAAAATAAATATATTGTATTGTAACTTTTATAGCCTGGTGTGCCGACACGGCTATAAAATCCGACCAATTAGCCCGGTGTGTCGACACGGCTATAAAATCCGACCAATTAGCCCGGTGTGTTCTACCCGGTCCTAAAATCCGTTTCCAGGTCCTGGAGTGTTCTACCCGACCCCAAAAACCGTTTCCATGGCCAGGTGTGTTCTGCACGGCTTATAGCGTTGCTTATAGTTTTTGATTTTTCTAAAGTGAACCGAGATACATCACGAAAGCGAGTCGGATGGCGTTTACTGTATTGAAATATAATAACTAATCCCGTGTTGATGAATGCTGCCTGCTTAACATCCGTACTGCTTTCATGCCTGCACTAATTCCTCAGCAATCCCGCTACAATTTCCATTGCTGCATGTTTCACCCAAAGCCTTGCATAATTCATTGTCCCGTAGAACTAGGCCTTAAGAGGCCAACAACAAATTCAAGCGCGCGAAATTCATTCTTTGTCGCCGAGTTCAAAGTAGGACCGTGATAGACGACGTTACGGCAAATATTTCCGAGATAACGGAAGGGTGTGATCAAATTGCATGGAAGGTGAATAATAAATCCTATGGGCTTTTGTGGAGGCAAAACTAATACACCTATCATATTTAATATAAATTAAAAAGTATACAGTTGTAATAATAGTTTTATAATTTACATTGTGCTTTTTATTTAACAAATAAGAATGTGGAGAATGAAATGTGCGGAAACACAAAAATATATTACGAAGATAATAAAATTTACCTATACAAATACAGCAAAATAGATACTTGAAATGTTTACACCAAAAAAAGTGAGGTGGCGTAGTTACGAGGGTGGGACAGATGATGTTTATTCGTTTATTACATAAAGAACTTCCAGAAAACCTAGAAAAATAATAAAAAGGAAAAGTGTTAATTTCACACATTGGTGAGATTGCTCATGAAAACCTCGGACACATCGATTTTTGATTTCAGTTGCCGTTTTTCTGATGGTAATATCATGTATACAGGGTGACCCAGAAACAAGTTGTGACAGCTAACTTTATTTTTTTAAATGAAAACATTAATTTTGAAGTGAAAACTTCTTTAGAATCGTTGGGAGTGATGTGAGACTCGATGAAACGAAAAAGCGACACTTTTTTAACACGCTTATATTAACACACAACAAGAAACTGGAACAAGCCAAGTGAGCTGGAACAAGTCTGGAAAATGTCTGGATAAATCTGGATGAAGTCTGGAAAAGTCTGGAAATCTCTGGAAACGTCTGGAAAGAGCCTGGAAATTTCTGGAAAGGGTCGGAAAAATTCTGCCAAAGGTCCCAAAAGACCTGGGGATCATTCTCCAGAATCCGGATCAGTCTGTACAAGTCTGGATTAGGTCTGGATAAATCTGGCAAAAGTCTCAAAAACTCTGGAAAACTCTGGATAAGTCTGGTTATTGTCTGGGAAAGTCTGGAAACGTCTGGAAAAGACTTGGAAATTTCTGGAAAGGGTTGGAAAAATTCTGAAAAAGGTCCCAAAAGACCTGAGGATCATTTACCAGAATCCGTATCAGTCTGAACAAGTCTGAATAAAGTCTGGATTAATCTGGATGAAGTTTGGAAAACTCTGGAAAGCTCTGGATAAGTCTGGATAATGTCTGGAATTCTCTGGAAACGTCTGGAAAGAGCACGGAAATTTCTGGAAAGGGTCAGAAAAATTCTGCCAAAGGTCCCAAAAGACCTGGGGATCATTTTCCAGAATCTGGATCAGTCTGTACAAGTCTGGATAAGGTCTGGATAAATCTGGATTAAGTCTGTAAAACTCTGGATAAGTCTGGATATTGTCTGGAAAAGTTTGGAAACATCTGGAAAAGACTTGGAAATTTCTGGAAAGGGTTGGAAAAATTCTGAAAAAGGTCCCAAAAGACCTGGGGATCATTTTCCAGAATCCGGATCAGTCTGAACAAATCTGGATAAAGTCTGGATTAATCTGGATGAAGTCTGGAAAACTCTGGATAAGTCTGGATAATGTCTGGAAATCTCTGGAAACGTCTGGAAAAGGCCTGGAAATTTCTTGAAGGGGTCGGAAAAATTCTGGAAAAGGTCCCAAAAGACCTGGGGATCATTTTCCAGAATCCGGATCAGTCTGTACAAGTCTGGATAAATCTGGATGGAATCTGGAAAACTCTGGGAAGCTCTGAATAAGTCTGGATAATGTCTCGAAAAGTCTGGAAATCTCTGGGGCTGACACGCTATTATAATACATCGAACTAAAAAGTGAAAAATAAATGTATTTTAAAAAAACTAAAAAACACGCTTTTATAGTAAATTGAACTAAAAAGTGAAAAATAATTTTTAATAGAAACAGAAAATATTAATGAACAAAAAATATTAGAATTATTGTCAAAAAAGCGTGGGGTGCTCAATGTATGAAAAATGTGGAACAAAGCACCCCAGCGTGTATTTTAGTTTTTTCAAACTATATTTATTTGCGTTCTTTCTCAAGTCTTTTGGAGGGGGGGGGGACGCCACTGTGTATGTTAGTATGTGTGTAATGCATGCAGTTCGATGAAGGTTTCACTTCTACCGGGTGTGAACTGCACAGGATTTTTTTAAATTTCATTTCTTACTTCTACGTTACATTCTGAACTTATTTAATGTATCATATCCTATACCTATCTTCAACTGTTTCGGAAATAATAAGAGTTGAAAATTTACTTTTTTGCAACTTTGGCAGGCTTTAAAACCTCAACGGTTGATTTTAGAGCTAAACCGATCATACATTCTTATCTGAGTTTTCCATGAACTATCATTTGACACCAGCTTGGAAATTAATCCAAGATTAAAAATTCCATTGCTTGAGTTGTATTTTAGCTATTTTTGGGTTTGAAAAAAGGACGGTTCTAGAACGGTTCAAAACAATCGCACAGTTTATTATTGAAGTTTGTGATAGCTGAACCGTTGTCATTTAGTTGATTGATGAACTGTGCGATTGTTTTGAACCGTTCTAGAACCGTCCTTTTTTCGAACCCGAAAAGAGCTTTTATGAGAGAATTTCATGAATCAAAAATTTA